AGGCAGCACTTCAGATAAATCAAGAGAAATAGTTAATGAAGTAATGTCTGTCTTTCCATTTCCTATCACAAGTGAAAGAAGAATGAGGGAGAAAATTGCGGATGATAATAACTGGAGAAAATAAAAATAACTGGAGAGTTACTTAAACCAATGGGTGGGACTCCATAGATATATGTTTAATAATCCAATATTAAAATGTCAGTTGCTCCAAGAATGGCTTTAAAGTAAGTGATAGATGTTGCTAACATTTATATTTCACTAGGCTTAATGTTCTAATGAAACATGTCATACACGATCAGACTTTTAGTAGGTTCAGTGCCTTTTTCTTTTTAATTGTAGGTGTTCTCGGAAACATCATTATCCAAGCTCTAGTCAGACCCTTCTTATCAGGGGAATGTTTGTTACTTTTGGGATGGAACAGTGTAAGAGAGATGACTATGACACAGATGCAAGTCTAGAATACAGTGAGGAGGAAATTTATCAGCAGTTCGTAGATTTCTATGAAGACGTACTTCCTGAATTCAAAAATGTGGGGAAGGTTATACAGTTCAAGGTACGAAAAGATTTAGTTGCGTGTTTCTGCATGCCTTAGTTGTGCGTTTATAAACAGAAATTGTGGAAAATTTAAGACCTCAGTCTTGTATGAAAGAAGTGGGGATGCAGAATAAGCTTGTATGTTGGGTATAAATGAATTTATATGCTTTTTCTTGCTGAACAAAATCTGACAAGTGGTGCCCCTAAGCCAGTAGTCTCTAACCTTTTTGGGCTCCTGTGCCAAAAATTGTGCGCGCGCTTGCATGCCAGCACCCAGGCAATGCATGCACCCCCTGCACATGCGCAGGCCATCCCCCCGCCCCCTTAACTGCAGTGCGCCTCACAGCTGATTTTTTGGGTGGTTTCAGGCCTTTTTCGGCTCCCTGGTATTACAGGAAGTGATGAAACGGGCCTATTATTCGGCCTGCAAAGCCTGCAGAGACTTTTTTCAAGCCTCTGGGATGCCAAAAAAGGCCTCAAACCAGCTGAAAAAATCAGCTGTAAGGCGCACACATGTGCAGTAAATTTGCCTGCAGCTTGCGTGCTGGCACAAATGGCTCTGTGTGCCACTAGTTCACCATCATGGCCCTAAGCCAAACAAGAGTGAAAAAAGAATATGATGATGATCCTCTGGTCAGTTGGTAAGTGGAAAATAAGGAAGCATTTTTTTGGGGTCTCTCTACCCTACTGTGTAGCCTTGGCATATTAGTTTCCTTAATGTTTTTTTGATCCTAACTCTCATTGTCAGGTTGGTGTAACTTGGACACATAAGGAAGATTTATATTCTGACTTATTCCAGCAAGAAAGGAGCTAATGACCCAGTTGGTCTTAGGTCAAGATTTAGCTGAATGCCAAAATGATTTCAAGCACCTGTTGAACTCTTGAATGTAGCAAAATGCTAATTTTAACAGTGAATTAGATATGGTTTTGAATTTTACAGGTTTACTGTCTACCTATGAAACAGCTGTTTGCTTACTAAGATAAGCTAAAAGTAAGCACACAACCAGCTTATAGCTCTCTGAATAGGATGCTGAAATTAATGTTTTGCAGGCTGTAAATATTGTAACTTATAAACATGTATTTTTGTCTAATCCCTTGTTCAGTACTAAGACTGCATAAGATTAAAGCTTAATATAAAGCCAAGAAACCATATTTACAAAAATAAGGGAAATGCTATAAGTTTTTTCCAGATATAGTTTGAATGATGTTTTATCTTTTACATAGGTGAGCTGTAACTTTGAACCTCATCTTCGAGGAAATGTATATGTTCAATATCAGTCGTAAGTATTTAACAATAAACAATTTAACTTAATAAAGATGTTACAAAAAGCTTTAAGGCAAACCATTAACGGGTTGTGACTGAGAGAAGTATATTTCAGCATGTCAGTGCTCCCTTTTGAGCATTAATTTCCTGTAACTCTGGCCTGTTTTGTAAAAGATCTGCAGTAGGTTATTCCTTCACAAAAGCAGGAACTGTTCCTTTTTAGGATTTCCTATCACACAATGAATTTTAATCATATTTTGACCCTTCCTATTAAACATTAGGTTAAGATAATTTAATGCCCATTTGCTTTTACCTGCACAGGTAATCCTTGGTTTATAACCGGTCACTGAGAAGTTATAATGGACCCTGAAAAAGATATTTATGACCCAGATTTAAAGATTTGAGTGCATCCCCCCCACCCTCCAGAATTTGGGCACTTAGCAAGCTACCCACATTTATGTTTGTATCCTGTGCCCACATGCCACAATTTACACTTTTGTCAAAAAACAGCATTTCTGGTTTCCAGCAAAAACTACCTCATAGTGAACAATGGGTTCACCTAAAAACTGTAGTGTTCATGACTGCTGTTTTTGTTTAACAACTGTTGCAAAAAAGTTATAAAATTGGACATGGTTACATGATGAATTACGTAACTATCACAAGTTATGTGTCAATAAACCTAACTGCAGGTGTAAGTCGACGACTACTTGTGTAGGACCAGACATATCAAGATGTTTGCTTTGTGGTATCTCATTTTTTAATGCTTCTAGTTTTACACACTAGCAATATGTTCTCAATTTGATTTTTAAAGCGAACAAGAATGTCAGGAAGCTCTCACCTTATTCAATGGTCGGTGGTATGCAGGGCGGCAGCTGCAGTGTGAGTTTTGTCCAGTAACAAGGTGGAAAACAGCTATTTGTGGTAAGTCAATGAAACTTGGTAGTTTCTGTCTTTGTGATGGGCGTTTATTTGCATTTTTGCAGTGAGTCTGCCTAAAAATCAATATTTCTAAACTGAGAAATGATGAAATATGATTTTCTGCTTCTATAGCACTTAGTTTTCCATCCAGCAGATTTCTGAGGTGATGCCATAATGTTTCATTGATGGGCTCTCTAAGTCTAAATTGGCAAGTTTCTGTAGGACTGGTAACTTAATATGACAAAATGTAACATGTTTAGCTACTGCTGTATTATTGAATACACTGGAGAAATATCTCTGACATATGCAGAGGTATGTACGGGATATTCTGGAAAAAGGTAAAATTTTGGAAAACACCTTTGCCTAAATATTTTTGCTCATTGGTTGATTATATGGCTAGTGAACCATGTAAAGAGCCTTTTTAGATACCTGTAATATTTTGCAGACATAGATAAATCACAAAGCGTACTGAATGGAAACATAATCTTGATTTCATATTCAATAACTATTAAAATAAATCCTTTTCCAGGTTTGTTTGAAAGGCAAAAGTGTCCAAGAGGAAAGCACTGTAACTTTCTTCACGTATTCAAAAATCCAAACAATGAATTCTGGGAAGCCAATAGAGATATTCACATTTCCACTGACTGGGCTAAAGAGGCAAGTAAAAACTCGGAAAGGAGAAATAGATTGGGGTACTATGAAGAACATTATAGCAGATCAAGAAGAAGGAACAGTCAAAGTCCAGAACATTCATACAATAAAAGAAATGGAGAATCTGAAAGAAAAAAATCTCATCATAAGCATAAGAAAAGTCACGTTTTTGAGAAATTGGGCAGTCGTGGAAGGCAACGGTCACACAGTAAAAAGAAAAGACGGAATCGTGACAGGAGCCTGACATGCAGTCGTAGTAGAAGTCCATCTCCTACAAGAAATAGAGGCAGAAAGAAATCTAGTAGCAAAGGAAGGAATAGCTGAACTTGCTGGAGACTTACTTTCAAGACTTGGATGGATGTTTTGAAAAATATTACCTCTAGTTCTGTTAGATCAGTTGTACATTGTTGTGCCCTAAAATAAAGCTGTTATGTATGCGCTACCCTATCTTAAAAGTTTTGCAATAAATTGTAAGAAAAAAAATGAAACACATTCCCTGGCCCTTGTTTAATTAACCTGCTGTGGAAAGTGGATGTTCTTTTTTAAAATTCTTTAGCTAAAATAATATTGTGTGGTAAGTTAAAACAACTGAAGTAACAAAAATCTTTGGTTTACACTTTGTTTATGAATAAGTACATTAAATGTCTACTATACTTTCACATTTGTCCAAAGTTACATTTTGATTATATTTACATTCAGCATAGTCTCCATATTACAAAAACAAAAAAAAACTCTCTGAAGAAAAACAGTACTTGCTAGAATCGCCATGCCTTCTCCATCCTGCTTTCTAAATGTGATAGTATCTGTCTGTGCTGGCCATGGGAGTTGTCAGACTGCTGTGCAGTATTAAATTTGTTAAATGCTTTCTTCTCTATGGCACCATTGCATAAAATGATGATTAATTTAGAAGTGAAGGACTTGCTTATATAATGTGTCATTTAAAACACCCTTTTAACATATAAATCAGCTCAAATTGAGCTCAATTTATATCTCCAGCCTGGGGATTTCCTGGTGGTTTCCCGTCCAATTTTATTCAGTTATTTTGAGATTAGCCAAGGTCAGCTTGGTGTTGCCACCTGCTGTGACCTGAACACAGGTAATATAAATATGCATCTGTAAGAGTATCTTTCATGCATAGCTGTTGATCTTGGAATTTTTCAGTGAGGAATGCTATTCAAGTTCCTTGTCCTATAATATTTTTGCATACTTGTGGATTGCATTTTATTCCTTCAAAACAACTGGATCTTTTTTGGAAACTTTACAAAAGATTTATGATAACCACATCCCCAAAATGTCAAATTCCTTTTTGTTAAGGAAGCAGATATTCAATTTGCCTCAGATTTAGTAACTCCACCTCTAAACTACTGCTTACAAAGTAACTACAATTTCATATATTGCAACCTTTTATCTTAAGTATACTTCCATCTATCATAGGACTGTAAAACTAGAAAATCAGAATGTGGTATTGTAAGACTTAACAAATTTTATTATAAGACATAGATTTTGTGAATTGCACCTTTTTTCTTGATTGCCTCATTCCTCTGCATTTAAATCCTTTATCAGTTAAGCTGCTGCATTATCTTATGAAATGACCTGTGGCTCACAGAAATTTATAATAAAATTCCAAAAGATGCTACAAGTCATATGTTTGGCTACCATAGAGTAACATGGGTCTCACTTGGCAAATTTGTCTTTCAGTTTTCAGTAACTGGTATCAGTAAGTTTAACATTGCTTTATTTCCAAGTATATAAAGCTGTATCATACATATAGAGTCCATTATAGTTACGAATGACTAGAGATTACTTCCATGCACTGGTAAAACAGAAATGAGCAGATGTTGAGCAGCCCCATTACTTTTTAAAGAAATAGCCTGTTATTGCTACAATGATTTACATAACATTTTAATAACTTACCTTTAAAAGAAGGCAATATTGGTATATTGGGCTATTTAGTAGTCTGCTTACACAAATATTCCATGAATTTTTTTAATACACAGGCAGTGATGGAGTAAAAATGGACATTTATTACAACTTAACCAGTGTACACAGCTTATCTTACATCACAACACTTTTTAAACAAACACACAAGGTAACAGTGCAGACCTTAAACATGGTTTTAATGCACAAAAATTGTTTTTGACATTTTAAAATGTCAAGTAATTCCACTCTATTTCAATCTCTCACATAGCAAATGGACCATTCTAATGCCATGTGAACTTCATTCTTGCAGTTCCCATTAAGCTAAACATAGGGCTCCAGTGTATGTATTTCATGTAATCTTTACTAATTCCATAACACTTCTATTGGACTCAGTATAATAATCTTTCTGATGTAGCATTATATTAATGCATTACAGTATTTCAGAATATCAATTATAGAAAATTGATCCACCAGAAGGCAATTTAGTAGTTACCTATGAGAAAGTATACACACACAAATATATGTAAAGCAATCTACTTCCAGAAATAAAATGCTCTGAGCAAAGATTGCTTCAAATGAATTACAGATATTTAGCAAAACGCACATGAGGATAAACAAAATATGGCTTTGCAATATCCATGCAGTCTCATCCTATGCATATTTAGAAGTTCTATTTTATTTTGATATGTACTACACTATAAAAATGTGCATATGGGAGCCAAAACTGAACAAGCTGAGCAAAGGCATGGTGTAAGGTTTGCATCTCTGCTTGTATTCACAATGCACTATGATTAAATCTAGAATCTAATATGGAATAACATTAATGGGCAGCTACAATTAGTAACATAGCTGTTCAGGTTGACTTCAAACATACAGCAGATAATACTGGTAACAAGTAGATATTTTCTAACAGTTCTTTTTTTGTCAAGTGTATTTCAATACTGAATTTATCCTTTTGAAAAGACAATTTCAATACTTAGGATTATAAAAACTGACGCACTTTATATAACTTCAATTTATATTCCCTTTGCAAAATATTAATTCAAGTTGGAATTTCATTCCAAGGAGTTTTTACAATGCTTATAACTGACTTTAGAAATGAATGTCATGACAGCTTACAATAGTTTGATTTGGAAATCTTGATATAATTCTTTGGTATAAATAAAACAGCTGTAAATACTTGTTTAATCTTCTGTGACAACTTAAAATGACTTAATAAAAGTCTTTGGCTATATACAAAGCCAAGTCCCTTTGTTAACACATTTCACATTACCACATGTAATAGTTTTCAGCATATAACACAAACTACAGTATTGGATACATTGTTTTGGCAAAATGATTCACAAAAATAATTATTGAAATTGTCATCTATGAATCAATATTTTAAAACTAACATGGCTTAAATTGCTGTAAAACCCCTTCCCCAATTTTAAAAGGTTTAAAAATTTTGCTCCCTTTTTAACTTTATAATAAATAGATTTTTTCTCATAGACCTGAATATAAGTAGCTTAGCAGAACAATAATACTGACGAATAGCATCATAACACCATTAGCTAACATTACATGGAGGCAGTGAAGATTTACACTTATATGGGACACTGTAAAGACACCAGAAAAGATTTAAGTCAGTCCAATCTCTTCAAGAACGCTACGAGGGGTCTCTGCTTCCTGTGGAGAAAAAAATAGAGAATTAACAGGGCTTTGTTTTGTTTTTTGCTTCTACCAAGCTAGGTATATCATATTAAGAATATGGATTTCAGGGAGTTACATCTCACCTTTTTGTAATAAACTGTATTTGACACACTTCCCACTTCCTGCAATTCTTTCCTCCTTTCAACTGAGTAGACTGGAAACAGTTTCTATTATGTGAAGTGCTTTGATAAAGGAGAGAAGGCAACCTACACAAAGGCTCTAGCCATTTTGATAAGTGTGATCTGATTAAAGAATTCAACCAAAGTAGTAGTGTTTGAGATAAAAATTGTAGATATTTAATGAATATGGATAAAACCTTTAGAAAATAACTAAAGGCCAATTAAAATGTTATTTCTGCTAGTGAAGTTAATGTTTTAAATGTTCAATTTCAAATAAAATGTTAAAGCAAGTTCTATTTTCCTTATAATATACCAATGTACTCAAAGCACAGCCAGTAATTTTTGTATAAAAACACTTACTTTAGCATCCTAAAAAGGGTATAGCCAAAAAGAAAGAAAATCAGAATGTTAGCAATATTTCCATATAAATGTAACAAGTATGCAAGAACATGAGAGCCCGTTTGGTCTAGTAGTTAAGACACCAGGCTAGAAACACCATGAGTTCAAGTCCTGCTTTAGCCATGAAAGCCATCAGAATCACTTTGGGTCAGTCACTCTCTCTTAGTTCAACTCCTGTCATAGTTGTTGTGGGGAAAATATGAAATGGAGGTGTGCTGGATATGTTTGCCACCTTGAATTATTTACAAAATAGTAAAGGCGGGATATAAATAAAAAAATCAAAATTCTGAATTCCCAAAAGAAAGGCACTATTGTAACAACTCTGAATTGTGTTAGTAACTAGCACTTGCTCTATTCAGATATTATTCTGTACTGACATATACAAATTTGATATAGAGAATTGGGTTTTATCATAATTCTGTTATGAAAAAAAAGGGTTTTATTAGATTCATCATTCTGAAGGTTCATCATTCAGCAGATTTACTACCAGGGAATGCACCCTCTTTCATTATGCAAACTTCCAAAAACAAGATTGGCTTAGAGGACGGACAGATTCCCACAAAGGTTACCTTTCAAGGTCACCACTTGATCCTGGCAATTTCTCATGCAAGTTAGAGCTGTAATCCAATAAATACAGCTGGATTTCACCTGCATTAATAGAGCTCTTTATGTGAAGTGTAAATTAAATTGAATCTTTATTACGGTCATAGGCCAGCATAATATAACAAAGATACACTACTTTTATCTAAGAAGAACCTGCATACCCTTATTACTGTATGCATTTTTGTATCATAGTGTTCTTTTTAAAAATTTGTGTTTTACACTTTTAATAATGTACTATGAGCAATGATACAGCATACCCTCAGCAAGTCTGAATCTCAAATATTATTTGGGGAAAGTAGCTTCAAGGGGTGTAAAATAGCTCTTTGGGAATGTGCAACTTTTTAGAAATAGCTGAATTTAATCTTTTATCAGAAGGGTTTCATATGTCTGCAAATCAGAATTAAGGTAAATTCCACAATTATGAATTATTTCACAGCAAAGAAATGGAAGGGAAAAAAGCCAGTCACATGAGAAGTGCATGCAATAGTTTATTACAGTCATGCCCAAGAAAATCCACAGTAATTTACAAGCATGCAGCTACATAAAGGTACAACAATACTGCACCACTATCAGCACTCCATTTGCAGCAGTTTGAAGAGCCAGACATTAAAAGAATGCAAAGCAGCATTTACCATGTACGTTCACAGAAGCAATACCATATACATTCAGAGAGAGAGAGAGAGAGATCTGCAATATAAACGCTTCTTGCATGCCTCCCAGATGTAATGGGAAGTAATGTTAATCCTGTGTTTGAAATGACGACTGTCTCTAATATGCTGTATCTATACTTAATTATATGCAGAAACCATTTTCTTTTTTAACTACCATTTTGAAAGTCTAACTTTGTAACAACAGTCATGTCTCTCTTTTTATTATGACTTTTTGTTTTAGAATAAAATCAGGAGGGTTTGGTAGTGGCTTCTGTACATTTATGAACATTTTTATTGCTATTGTAACATTAGGTTCAGCTCCATACATGCCATGAAGATATCCATATAAATCTACTCTAAAATATTGAAATTAATGAAAGACTACATGCAGAAGAAATACCTTATGCACACTTTAGAGAATGCAAGATCAATGTGCTTATTTTTTAAACTTATTTAGCAGTGAAGCAAATCTGTTTAATATACATATATCATAATTTGGGGCCTTCAGGGTTGTTTTTCATGATATGTTTAGAAGGCGCTTATTTAGAAAACATTTTGTTTAGTGGGATAAAGTGTATAAGTTAATATCAGTGGATTTCTATGTGATAGCTACATATATTAGATTTATATACATTTTGACAGGCTACCATACCATGGGGTTGAATATTTAAATGATATAGTGAGGCTAAGCAAAGTATTTGAAGCTATAGTTTTACATGCTATGTCAAGTACTAATGAGATAGATTTAAATATTTTAACATGAACATTACAGCATGCTGACAAAACATATGAAGAAAAACAAACACTGCAAATGGAAGGACAAGGAAAAATACAAACAGCAAAAACAAAACACACAATTGTGATATACACTAGCTTGTTCAAGATGATTGGATTCACCAAGCTGAGGAAAAGCGTTCTGCCATGAGAAAATCAGTTCTAGCGCCTCTCTGTGTGCATGATGAATGAAGTCATTTAGTATACTGGGACATTAAAGTATTCATGACGTGGCTATAAAAGAAATGTATATTTTTTATAAACAGCACAAAAATTAGCATGCATATAATAAAACAAATGGATTTATATTACTTCTCTATTCTTCTCTATTCTGATGTTTTACAATTATGTAATAATGATGATAGAGGCTTAAGAAAATATATTTCATTGTACCGGATGATTTAATAAAATATATTTAATATCCTGTGTGGTTTGCTTTAAACTAAGTTTGTGATGATTGATATGTACACTGTTACTGCCAGACACCCATTATTTTTTGCCCAGCAGTATGTTTAATTACAGAAAATAGAATGTATATTCAATTTGCACGTTGAACAAGCTATTTGAAAGATGTTTCTGATGTTGTATCAAATAATATTCAATTGTATCATTACTGAATTTTATGGCAATGTATGTAAACTACAATGAATTTATGTTCAAATTTTATTTTTCTTCAATGATGCAATCATAAATTATGTCTTTAAGGGCTGCAATCATAACAATAAACTCATTCTTTTTAAGCTGTTTTAAAACTATCTGTATTAACATTCCAGGCCAACTAGCTGTTAATCCAATTACCCAGGGATGGAGAACTGGCATCATTAATTTCCTACATTTTTTCGTGCTTATCTTAAGAGCAAAAATAATATACCATTCATAAAGCTACTTCTATAAACAATTATAGAGACTATAGTTTTTTTCTATATAAGAATGTGCAGGCTTTCAAACATAATAATCAATGAATAATGATAACTGTGAATATTTCTATAAGTCTATCTCAGAAATATAGGTTTCCCTGAAAATAATGAAATGGAAAGTATTCCTAAAACAGATACCCTAAGATTAATTCATTTAATGAAGAATATTTTATAAATTTCCATGTTAACTTGGCAAATTGTAAAAGTACATTTTCCCAGACATCGTATGAACATATTCAGTTATCGTTGTCTTCCCAAACACACTGTGATTAATATAACCAAACTCATAAAATTAAATACTTTCCACATCCCTAATTTGCATATGACCAGTCTTCTCCACATTCTTTCAATGCTTATAAACTGGTATGCTAGGATTACATTTTTTCCTGCAGTTTACCAGATTGGCCTAATAACTACATTGCCTTAATATGGATGTTCACTTCATAGATGCTCAGGTTTTTAACTAAAAGTGATTAAATAACACCATTTGATGGTTAATGTATTTACATTATTTTTGTTTTATGGAAATATTAAAAGTTATAGGTGAAACCTTTCTATGGAAAGGTTCAGAAGTGAAAATAAACTATCTGCATCTTGTGTCATCAAAAATCAAACAATTCTCAATTTTATCTGCTAAAAATCAAACTCAGTTGGGTTGGGCAAGTCATTCCCTCTCAAAGAGTTGTTATTGTAGGGAAAAGAGGAAGAAGCATTAGGTATGTTTACCACCTAAAATAATAAAGGTGTGTGTGTGTGTGTGTGTGTGTGTGTGTGTGTGTGTGTCCATCTTTATTATTTTATACACACACAAAAAAAATATTTAAATATGTAAACAATAAAAATAGAATTTGAAGAAAAAAGTGGAGGTTTTTTTGGAAACTGTAGTCAGAATAAGAGAAGCTGCAATTTGAAAATATTCCAAGGGGCATGGTGAACTGAAGACAACTATGCAAGAGCATAGCCCATGACTACAGTGAAAAAAGGAGCCAATTGCTCCTCAAACTCCTCTCTGGATTAAGGTAAGAATTTGGGATGCCCAATGTTTTCCTGCAACAAGACTGTAAAACATTAGTCTTCAGTAGGTTTTAGAGCTCTGAGAGCCAGGAGTCAGTCTTGGCCAAACCATGGTTCAGAGACTTCAAGAGACGCTGGGTTCACCTACTACCTTTCTTAATCACTTTCACTGGAAATGGTTTGAAAATTGTTTTATGGATATTAAGAGTCTTCAGAAGGACAAGTGTTATTACACTAGGAGCTGTCCCTTCAATCCTCAGACATAGAAGATTTATGTAAATTTAAGAAATTAAAAATGTTATTTGAAAATAAGTAGCAAAAACAGAATTAGAATGCTAATTTTGGAAAGGTTTTAAATGGACAGGGTCCATCTAAACTGGAAATAAGATTATGAAATAATTATAAGAATATTCCTGTAGTTTGTTTAAAATCCTATTAAAAATATATGAAGATTTTAAATTTTAAGTGCAAGAAATTTTTCCTTGGGAAAATTTTGTGGA